GACCTGACCCCCTCCTAAGATGGGGCTTCGCTGTGACTGGAGCTGCTTTCCCTCCTCCCCGTAGAAGGAAGGCCCCTGCAGGTGCATCTCCTGGAGCTTGAGTGCTGCTCTCTCTAGGGGGGTTAATGCCCCTGGTATGAACTCTACAAGTAATCATCGTTCAAACTTTGTGATTTCTGGTTCTCAGAATAATAGCATCCATCAGGAGAATTCACTTGAACTCTGCGTGTTTCCTAATAGTCAGTCTGTCCTGCCATAATTCACCCTGGCCAGAGACTAAACTTTTTTCATAGCCTCTAGACTTACCCATAGAGAACAAGCTGGATACTCAATATATTCTTATTACCAATAGTATCATTCTCATGCACAAAGGACAGACCCTTTCTGTCTGTTTGGCCTACCTACCTAGCATAGTCATTTCTAATTTTAAAATTTTAATTTTGCTGAACATATTCTCATCAAAGTCATTCTTTTCCATGTAAAAATTTTATGAAGTCTTGATCCATTTTTTTTGTTTGTACCAACCAATTATGTAGTGTCTGCCACTGAAAATTTACTTTTATGGGCATCATATTTACCAAGTCAAATTATTCTAAATCAAATGTTGCAAATAGAAATTTTATCAAAAAGATGTGCTCCTTTCAATTTTTAGTCAATAATAAGTTTTATGTGCAATTTTTATTTTATTGTGCTTGACTATTTTTACCATTAATATTAATTATAAATTGGATGAAAGGAAATAGTTTACATTTATTTCTTCACTAATTCATGAGAAATATTAAGCTGTTTGGGGATTGCTGCATTGTAAAGGATCGCACTACTGTTCTCATTACGTTCCTCTGCCCACGTCTGTCACATCAACTATTGCCTTCTGCAGTGCTCCTCTTGGTACAGCTGAGAGCTAATGTTAGGCTTTGCTCCAAATGCATCCATCGTCCTGAAGTGGGGGGATATAGGTGTGGTGCTTTGTAAAATGCACCTTTTGCCTTCTTTTTCCCAGATTTCCCCCCATTTTCTTTTCTCTTCTCTAGACTTCTCAGCCTTTTCTTTTTCTCTGACCCCTCATTTAATTTTTCTGCCGTTTCTCTACTCCACCTTGCTCTCTTCTCCCAATCCTCTTTCTGCCTGCTTTGGCCTTTCCTTCTCTTTCTCCCTTGTTGGTCTCACTCATTGTCCCAGACGCTCTCCTCTGAGACCTGTGGCCATACTTTCCCCTCCCGGTTGCTTTCTTCTGTTGTCCCACCTTCATTTCATCCCAAGAATTGCTTAGCAGAGTCCTCAATGTCATGCTTATAAAGGCTCAGACACTCTTGCCCCTGCTGCTCAGCATCCCACTGGGATCAAGTAACTGAGAGAGGTTGAGATCCTGTGCTCCTTGTATGGCTTTAAAAGTGGCACTGAGGGTGGCCAGCTCATGAGGGCTTGATTTTTATGGATCTGTCTGAAGACAGAGGGATGGATGATATGATCTCAGGAGGGCCCTGCCAGATCGAGGAACCTGGGAGCCCCATCTCAGTCTTCATCAATGTAGATTTATTGGACACCCCCTGGGTGCTTGGAGCTGTACTAAATGATTTCATCCTTCAAATTCTGAAATCCAGTTTCTGCCTTTTCAGCAGTGTTTACAATATTGTAATATTGGATTGAATTTTTATATAAGCTTTTGTTATTCCTGCCATTATTTACTACAAACTATATTTTAAAAATTAAGGTTAAAGGATTTAGTAATGGTATTGGGATTGTCCTTAATTTCTTTTGGCCTCCTGTAGATTTCTAAGATTCTTCAAATTTCCTTGCATGTGGGTTCCCCTCCAGCTGATATGAAATTCAAGAACATTCTGAGAAGTGGGTAGGATGGGGAAGATGTCTTGTGGGCTGTGGTGTGATTGTGGGGAATATGGGCAAAGGAAGGGGCAGGGATGGCAAGGACGAGTACGTGTATGCGTGTAAGTGCTTGGAAATAGTTTCTTTTACTTAGTCAACAGATAAGTATTGAGTACCTACTCTGTGCAGGTGATTTTTAAGATGCTGAAGATAAAGCAATGAATAAAAAGTATTTAAAATGGCCACCTTCCAATAGCTTATTGGAATAGCTTATATTCCAATAGGAAGAGACAGCTAATAATTTTTTTTTGAGTTGGGGTCTCACTCTGTCAACCAGGCTGGAGTGCAGTGGCACGCTCCCGGCCACCGCAACCTTGCCCTCCTGGGCTCAGGTGATCCTTCTGCCTCAACCTGCCAAGTAGCTGGAACTACAGGCATGTGCCACCATGCCCAGCTAATCTATTGATTTATTGTAGAGATGAGGTCTCGCCAAGTTGTCTAGGCTGGTCTTGAACCCATGGGCTCAGGCAGTCCTCTCATCTCAGCCTCCCAAAGTGCTGGGATTATAGGCATGAACCACCACGCCTGGCCTGACAACTAATAAATTAAATGAATAAAACAGTAACAAACCAGAGAAGGGAGATAAGAGAGTAATGAGGAGGTTTAATTTAATTTAATTTTTACATATTTATTTATTTTTTAGTGCAGTGGCACACTCACAGCCACCGCAGCCTCGACCTGCTATGTTCAAGCAATCCTTCTGCCCCAGCCTTCCAAGTAACTGGAACTGCAGGCACACACCACCACACCCAGCTAATTTTTTGATTTCTTGTAGAGATGAGGTCTCACCAAGTTGCTGATTTCGAACCCCTGGACTCAGGCAATCCTCTCGCCTCACCCTCCCAAAGTGCTGGGATTACAGGCTTGAGCCACTGCACCCAACCGGATGTGAATCTTACAGAAAACAAAATGGGTTTGTCTAGGAATGAGATAAGGGACAAGTCATGGAATGATAAGAGGGAGTATTATGAGGAGCGCACCGTCTATAGATGGTGTAGCGTGCTTAACAAGACAGGACTTGACGCTGGACGCCAGTGAGGCTTGGGCAAACTGTTAAAGAGACAACAAAGACTGTTTGCTGGTAAAAAGCAACGAGCAGGAGTAGCATGGAAAGACTGGGTGGGCCGAAAGTGGGGTGTGCAACATGGGCTTTGAGAAGGTTAGATGAAGAGGGAAGCACTCCAGGAAGAAGAGTGGAAGAATGAAAACACCCTTGAGATATAACGAAGCTGATTGGGATGATGGTGGGTGATGTTGGACAGGGGTTGAGAATTCTGGCCACCAAGGAAAATGTCACTGTGGTTCTTGTGAAGCAGGGGCAGACCATCATGAGGGGAAAGGAACACCTGGAGGCTGGGGGAAGAAGGGCAGGAAATCCTGACTGCCGGGAGGTGTATTAATGGACACCACCCCTCACTTTCTCTCATAAAGTATTTCACTGGGTCCTGAATTTAGTTTCCTTTGAGTTGTATTCTCAACCCCCAAGTGTGCTCATGGTGTACATCTGATATGTGGTAGATATAGATAGGTACGCTTGCACAGATATTTATGAAGGACTCCTTCCTTTGCACAGTGAACTCTCTTGGGATGGAGCTGACTATTCAGTTTACAGATTATCCATCTTCTCTTGTTCTCTTTCCTGTTGGTTGGTTGTCTTTTGACATTTTACTTTTTCACTGCTTTTTTTTTTGATCCTTTGGGCAGAAAACAGGGGTTTGTAAAACCTAAACACTGAAAACATCTGTAATGCATTATTGAAAGCTCTGATAAAAATATCAGTGGATAAGAAGATTAAAACCAATGGTTAAATTAAATTTTAGAATTATGTGTGGGTTAAAATGTTTATATGCCTGTGAGTGTAGTCATTAATCTACAGAGTCATCATTTCTCTTTCACCGTTTTCTTTTGTTTTTCCTTGGGTCACTTTTACTTCTTCCTCTTCCTGCTCTCATATGCCCTCCTTCCCTCCCAGCTGACATCAAGCTCAGGGTCCTCAGGATTCTGAACTTGTGCAGGAAACAGCTGTTTGTGCTGCTCAGGCACCCTTGTCTGGGAAAGAAGGTAGATGGGAAAGGGATGATGTCATTTTTAAATTAAGGCTAAGAGCTGGGTGCAGTGGCTCACACCACTTTGGGAGGCTGAGGCAGGAGGATTGCTTGAGCCCAAGAGTTTGAAATCAGCCTGGGCAAAATAGTAAGACCCTGTCTCTTATTTAAAGAAAAAAAAAAGTAAGGGTAAAGTGAAAAGGAGTCAAGAGGCCCAGGTAACTGGGAGAGAAATCTGGTCATATACAAGGTGCCACGTTGGCTGGGAGCCTCCATTTTGGGCTGGGCGGTCTAGTTAAGGACAATTGGGTGGGGGGCTGGTGAGGAAAACTCTGAGACTCCCAGGTCCTTTGATAATGTTTGTTGGACCCAGATTTGGGCCAGGGAGTGGCTGATAACCTGAAGTTTCCATCTGGAAAGGAGATTCTGTGAGTCTAGATCGAGTGAAGAGGGTAAGGAGAAGACAGAATGAAGGTCCCGAGACAGCTCTTACGAGCTGGGCCAGATGAGGATTCCTAGGAGAGCACCAAAGCCTGACATCCTTCCTCTCCCCATCTATCCTGTGAAAGCCAGTTCTCCCACATTGCCTCACTCCTCCCCATGCTTGCTCTGAAAGGATCCTAAGCTAGGTCCCACACTGCCGCACTCTGGGACCTGAGGCTGGGAGGTCTGGCTTTGGAAGGGGGGTGTAGGGTGTACGAATGAGATACTGGGCCCTTATTCTCAGGGATTGGAGAAAGCCGGGGAGGTGGGGGGTAAGGAAAACGAGATGGGGGTGGTGGGAAAGTCAAGGGGTCGTTGTCCACACACTTATTGCCTCCCTGCTTTTCCAGAGTGAAATCTGTGCTGGTTAATACCTTTCTCCCATTTGTCTTCCCTAAACCTCTTCCCCATTTCCCACCCTGGATGTACCATCCTTCTGTCTCTTCTCCCTCCCCTTCTCCTCCTCTCCATTTGTTTTCCTGTTGTTACCCACCCCCCCCACTTCTGGCCACGGTCCCATGTGCCTCCTCCAAACTGTCTTTTCCTTGCCTTCCCCCTCCCCATCCATTGGTTTTTCACTCCCCGCAGCAGAGGGGAAGGTGTACAGCTCAGATGAGGAGAAGCTGGAGACACCAGCAGGAGACCCAGCAGGCAGCGAACAGGAGGAAGAGGGCTCGGGCGCTGACAGCGAGGACGACGGTTTCCTGGACAGTTCTGCAGGGGGCCCAGGGGCTCTTCTGGGACCTAAACCGAAGCTAAAGGGAAACCTGGGGACTGGAGCTGAGGAGGGGGCACCGGTGGCAGCAGGGGCTACAGCTCCTGGGGGGAAAAGCCGACGGCGCCGCACGGCATTTACCAGTGAGCAGCTTTTGGAGTTGGAGAAGGAGTTTCATTGCAAGAAATACCTGAGCTTGACAGAGCGCTCCCAGATCGCCCATGCCCTCAAGCTCAGTGAGGTGCAGGTCAAGATCTGGTTTCAGAATCGACGGGCCAAGTGGAAGCGCATCAAAGCTGGCAATGTGAGCAGCCGTTCTGGGGAGCCCGTAAGAAACCCCAAGATCGTTGTTCCCATACCTGTACATGTCAACAGGTTTGCTGTGCGGAGCCAGCACCAACAAATGGAGCAGGGGGCCCGGCCCTGAATGGGTGCCCAAGGACTTAGGAAGGCAAGGGGTGTCTGCACCTGAGCCTGCTCTGAGACTGAGTTACAGTTCTGTGAACCAGAGGGGCTACAACTGTGATTCTGCTCTGGGAGAGGGGCTAGTTGGCAATTAGCCTAGCCCCGGGTGTGCTCCTCCAGGAACCTGAGACGTGGCCACTTGGCCCCGAGTCTGTTCCAGAGAACTTCAGGACCAGGGGCTTCAGGGTAAAAGGGGCTTGCGGACTGAGGGGGATTCCTGGGGAGGGGTGGGGTTCTCAGATACCTAGGTTCTGAATGTTCCTGGGCAAATGCTCTGGAACAGCTTCTTGTGGGTGGAGGAATCCAGGGCAATACCTAACCAAGCAGATCACAGCTCCTTATTTATTTGTGTAAATTTTGTATATATGGAGCTATCTGTCTCTGTCAGAGAGGGATTGGGGAAGTTGTTTCCTCGGTCCTCAGCCAGTTTATTCCATCCTGCTTTGGAAAAGGCACCATCTTTCCTCTTTACAAAGAAATGAAATGGAATTGTCACTGGCCTCTGTAGGACTTCTTCAGCACTCCCTGTCCCCACCCCACTCCACCCCATCCCAATAAACTACCTCCACTCCTGTGCTTTTCCACTTGAGCCTGCCCACTGCTCATACCTCTACACGTTACTCTCCTAATGTGCCACTTCTGTTCCCTCTACCCATTAAACAGGCAAGCTTCATCTCCGCTCTCTCCTCTGTGGTGGATGACTTGGCAGATCTCAGCATATTCACTCCCTTTTGTATCATGAAGGGAAATAAGGTACCTAGCCCTGGTTTAGCTGGGGTATGTCCGGATCACCTAACCAGGGAGAGACCTCTAAGCCCTGTCAGTGACTGGGGGCTCACTCGTATCACCTGTGAGTTCTTTTTCTATGTGGAAGATACGGCAGCCTAGCCTGTCTCTGCCATCCTTTGGTACTCCAGATGCAAGGGCCTAGAGGAAAAGTTCCATCCCCCGTTTTCTGTGCTTAAGGCATTGCCATTTCTCCTTCTCCCCGTCACACCATCTTTGAAGCTAGGGATACCCCTACCTCTTCTGTTGCAGAACAAGATCAGTTGAGGGGGAGCACTGCAAGATGTAACAGGAATGAATCTGTGGTGGTTCTGGAAGGCTGTGTACTATGGGCAAGGCTACAGACATAGCAGTTAGAGGCTTTGGGGTTGGAAATCTGTTCTATAAGCCAATTAAAGAACAGCATTTGTGGACAAAGTAAACACAGGGAGCAGGGCTCTACAGATTCATCTGCAGACACTGGGTAAAGGGGATTATGACAGAAACCAGTTGCAGTTAGTATCATGGTAACTGGGCTTCCTGGAGAAAAAACAGGACCGTACTGATTTGTGAGAGGGTGAGAGTACAGAACAGAGCCACCAAGAAGAAAAAGAGGCAGGATATGGAAAAGGCAAAGTAACTCAGGTAATTAAGGCATTAAGGTCAGGGAGGGGAGGGAAGCACTGCTCAGTCATACCTAGCCAGTCTCATCAGCTTCTTGGGGAAGAAGTTTCTGGCTATTCCTGACTCCTGTAATGACAAACTTACCAGTGTCTCATCACTCTAACATGTATCGAGCACGTATCCAGACAGCCTTTCCTTGGCAGTTCATGTCTCCCAGCTGGTTTTGGCAACCAAATAGCAAGCAACCTCTGGGGCTGGTCCTGTTTTCGGGCTAAGTTTCAACAGGTCTTAGGGATTAGGCTAAAAATATGTAGCCTAGTCTAGATCAAGGCTAAGTCTCTCAGACTCGGCCTACACAGGGAACCCATGGATTAGATGTTTTCAGGAGATAAACCAGATGGAGGCTGAAGATCACAGGAATTGTCCTTTTGGTGGGGCTGGAGTAAAGGCCCTGTGGTAGAGGGCAGGTGAGCAGCTGGGCAGGAAGGTTGGCGAGGAAAACCAGCCCAAACCAAGGCCCCAATCTGTTGGGTTTTTTCCTCCTTTTTTCTGGCTCTACCTATTAAGCCACCTAAACTATACCAAGCAGTATTCAGCCAGTCCAAGCAGCTTATTTTCCTTAGGGAATCTGGAGGTGATTATTGCTAGGATTCTGAGCCCAGGAACCCAGTCCTACAGATACATATCCATGGCCCTGTCTCTATTTTGCCCTAATCTATGTGTAAGGCTCTTAACCAGCCTTGCAAAAGGGGCTGCGGATGGAGAAAATAAAATCTGGTTTCCTCTCTGAATAGTGTTACTTGGTCATTTACCTATTTGCAGGCAGGTGCCTGGGCACAGAGCATCAGCCCTCTACACCCAACACTGAGTCAATGTATTTTAGAGAACAGGGAGGCAACAGGCTTCTCAGAGAGCCAGGCAGTCTCTCATCCTTTAATAACCAGCAGAGAGAAGGTTTTCTCCCAGTCTTTCTGGAACAGCTAAAGGATCCAGTCAGAAGAAAGAGCAGGGGCTCTGGATTCTGCCCCCATCTTGGCTTGGCAAGATGTTGCTGGGAATTAAGGAGGCCATTGTGGTGTCAGCAAGCCGCCACCTCCCCTTTCCACATAAGCAAAGCCTAGGCACGAGTCCGTCTACACTGTAATGTAGCTGTCTGCTGCCACTTACACCATGGCACCCTCAGGATTCTCTGTATCGACTCTCCCTGTACATCTGGCTATGCAGCTAGTTCCCAGACTCGTGGGAAGGGGGCGGTGCTTATGTCTTCTCTCCAGGTGCACTCTGGCCAATACAGGGCGTGACATGAGGTTGCTAGATAGAATATCGATGACAATAAGGAGACCAGGTAGAAAAGCTTCTTGAAAGTCGAGAAGTGAAGCAGGGAAGGCAGCAACTAGTAGGAAGCAAAGAGCTCCATCTCCTCTTGTCACTGAGCTGCACTGCTGAAAACTCAACTACACCCCTGCCAAGGGAAGGCGGAAAGAAATCGATGCAAGTAGGAAGCGGAGGAAAGACAACCTGGGACCCTGGCAAACTGGAAGGGAAGAAAATCTTAAGACACAGACAGCAAAAGATGAGAAGAAAGGGACAAAAAAGAAGAGATGAAAGGCAACGATGTGAAAGGGGAAAACAAGGCCACACACACAGTCTGGTTTATTGGCTCATCATACACACACACCAAATATGTACACAAACATAAATATTCAATGTACAAAGTTTACATGGGACTCACAGATCACACCTTGTCTCTCTCACCCAGCACCCCCAACCTGTGCCCTGTCCTCCTCCATTTTAGGATGAAGGTTTGTGGGGGGCTGGCACCAGGAGGTAGGGATGGAGGAGGGAGAGGTCCTGCTCCCCTCTCCTCACAGGCACCTCCAAAGGGTCCTGTCCCTTTTCAATGGCACCCTAGAGCAGAGGGCTAAATACCTCACCGCCTCTCTCTGCTGCAGGTCAAATCCCCAAACTCTCCTCGGACCCCTTTGACACTCCTCCCTAATTTCCACTCTTCTGTCCTCTCTGCATGTCCCTCCTTCTCCATCTCTGTCTGTTTCCCAGGGAGGAGGGTCCTCAGGCCACGGAGTCCTTTTAGCCCCTCTGCCCTCTTCCTGGGCCTTACAGAAGGCTAGGACTGCGGTGCAGTTCAGCAGAGGGGTTGGTGCCATTGGCAGGCTCTCTGTTGGGGGTAGGTGCTAAGCCACAGCCCTCCCCAGGGCAGCCATGCTGGATCAAGATGTCTGCACACTCCTGGCTGCCGGCCCGGCGAGCATAGGCCAGTGGAGTCAGGCCCCGGGCGTCCCGGCTCCTCACGTCCACCCCATACTGCAGGAGAAAGCACATTTTCACAGTTGGCATGACATGGGGGGAAAGATACCAGCTCTGGGGGAGGAAATGGACAGGTAGCTTTCAAAGGGCTGGGCACAAAGACTGAGGTCAGGGTAGATCAGCCCGGACTCACCCAGATGAGCAGCTGCGTGAAGACGACGTTGGCCATGGCACTGGAGAGATGCAGAGCTGTCCGCCCATCGCCGTCCCCATAGGTCTCGTTCACCTCCTCCTTGGACCCGTGTGCTAGAAGCATCACCAGCAGCCGCAGGTCATCCTCCACCACGGCCCGGAGCAGCTGCTGCCCCAGTGGCACGTCTGAGCTCGGCAGCGGGGCCAGGAAGAGCTTCTGCTCATACTTGGCCCGTATCCAGCGCTCCTTCTCCTCTCTGCAACCACAGGTCCGTCGAGGCATAAGCCGAGGAATGACATGGAAGCAGCGGGTGGGGCCAGGAAGGTGGTCGGGAAAGGAAACAAGCATGGGGCAGGGTGGGGGGGTAAGGGAGGAACAGAGAATGTAAGGCAGAGCAGACAGAAGCCTTAAACCCAGGGCGTATATACTCAGGGGGCAGTGGGCAATGCAAAGGGGGTGCAAGAAGCTGAAAGGGACACTGAAGGGAGGCCCCTTGGGGGCAGTAGAGATGTGGGGGCTGAGAGGGCAGGAAGATTCTAGGCAGGCCAGTGTTGCAGCTTATCTGGCCGTCTGAACTCCCTCCGATCCGCAGTGCTGGAACAAAGCGGGGGGGGGGGCCTGCGCTGGGGGGCCATGCACTATCCTATCTACCGTTCATTCTCCCCATCTCAGAGCTCAGGCTGGGGCGCTCGGCCCCACACTGCGATAGGGGCCCTGCGCATGCGCCTCCTGCTGGCCCCCTGACCTGCTGATAACGGCTCAGAAAGGACCCGTTGTTGAGAGGCGCCTGAGTGACAGGCACCAGAGGGGGAGGGGCACCCCCGGGGCCAACTGCCAAGCAGAGCAAGGGCTAGTTTTAACCCTTCTAACACTGTCATAGCCACTCCAATCTTCTCCATACTGGGCGCCCCGAATGTCCCCTCCCTTCCTGGCCAGCTTCAGGGCCCCATTCACTCACCTGCAGGCTTCAGGTCCTGGCTTTGCGTAGCCATCCAGGGCCCCCTCCCAGACACTGTTGGCAAGGGCATTGCCCATCGCAGTCATAACAGCCAGCAGCTCAGGTGGCCAGTCGTCGAGGTCGAGGGAACGGACCCGGGATAGGTGCGCCCCCAGATGTCGGTGGATGCCTGAGCACTCAATGCACATCAGGGCGCCCAGATTCAGGCTGGCCCAGTCTGGATCTAGGCGAGGAGAGCAAGTGTTACAGCAGGCGAGTGACTGGAGAGTGGGACATCTAGAAAAGTCCTCCCTGCCCTCCTCCCCCCCTTGATGCTTGCAAAGCTTTCTCGAAGCTGTCCCCAGCTCCTAGCCCTCCTGCCTCGGCACTCACTGGGTGCATCGCAGTCAATACAGAAGCTGTTGCCACGGACGGTGCGGACAGCCTGCACAGCCAGAGCTGCATTCTGGTTCCCCAGTCGAGTCTGCCACATGGCGGAAGAAACAAGGGTTGGCCGGTCAGTCATGAGGCCCCTTTCGGTCCCACCCCAGCCAGGTGCTCTGTGCAGGCCCAGCCACCCTGTGCCAACCTTGTCCTTGGCGCTGCGGCAGCCCTGCAGGCTGGCGAGGATCTGGGCCTGCACGCTCTGTACCCACAGCTCCCGCTCCTCTGCCGTCGAGGCCTCGAAGTGCCACGTCTGCCCAGTGAGGGACACCACCACAAACTCAAATGATTCCTCTGCGTCTGTGTATGGGGGTCGTTTATGTCATCAGACTGCTGGTCGGCACGCATGCACGGGCCATGCCATCGCCACAACTCCACTCACAACCTTGATTTGCTGGCACTCATGCTCCTCCCCCAGATCTTCCCGCCCTACCTCAAGGGCCACCCTCTCCAGGACAACTTGGAAGGGGGAGGCAGAGTAAACTTGCAAGACCAGTTTGAGTCCTCAACCCATGGCTCCTAACCACTTGTGGAGCCTGGGTGAAAACAGATGGGGATGCAAGGTCTTGGTATCCCTGGCACTGTCAGGAATGGATCTGAAACCAGAGAGGGGTGCTTCCTGGAGAAAGAAGAGCAGAGTATCTGGAGAGGAATGTGACGGGGTGCTAGGAGGCAAATGCTGGGAGAGTGGGGGAAGGCGGGTGTGGGCACCATCCGTACATGTCAGCTGCAGCCGCCTCATTTTGCAGCTCATTAAACCCAATATTCCTGACGGCGTCAGCGTGGGGCTCCTGGGAGCTGGGCCCCTCCCCCACTACCCTGGCATAGACAAGGAAGGGCAAGTGGATGGGGGTGAGGAGGAGAGGTTTTCTCCAGGAACTGCGGTACGTGAGCAAATAAGGACCCCAGGGCATCTAGTGACAAGCACTGAGGGCTGGACTGTAACCCCAAGCAACGTGGTAAGGCTCTTCCAAGATCTGCTCCTCCAGGCCCCTGGAAGAGAGCCTTGTGAATCTCATTCCCAACGGTCACTGTGCCATGGGTGAACAATTTCTAACAAGCAGTGTGACTGTGTCTCGGGGGCTGGAGAGAGGACAGGTACCTGTGGGAGGCCTCAGGGTGAGCCACACATTCTGCCAAGGCCACCCCTGCTTGTAAGTCCTCGCTGCATCTCAGCCCCAGGCAGCCTCACCGCAGTAACACCAACATCCCCTGGAATTCCTCCGCTGCTGGGTTCCTGCTCTCAGGGACCTTAGCAGACTGCTTTTCCACACCTCATCTTTCCCCAGACACTGCCGCTGTGCCTCACCTTGCTTTCAACCACAGCTTGGAGCTACATGACTGCCATAATCATCTGTAGGTTCAGTTCCCTAGACCACAGTGGACACCCTATGCCATGAGAGCTAAGCATCACTGTGTCACACGTTGGCTGGAGAAGGTGATCTCTGCTCACCTGACCCATGCTCCAACCTTAACGATTAGAGTAGAACTGAGAAATCATGAGTCTATGGAAGTTAAACTTATTTGGGAACAAAGAGACTCCACTCACTGAGAAGAGGGTGATTCTGAAGATACTGGGGGGAAAATCAGAGAAGCAGCACTATAATAAAAGATTATGAGAGAGGTCCTGTGGAAGAATGTGTAAGAAGCTGGAATCCTTAGCCTGAGGAATGCTAAGGAGACTTCGCCAGTCTATACACACGTATTAAGCACCTATTAGGTACCTAGCACTCGTTGGACGCAATGGATGACACAAGAGACACAGAAAACACAGGTCCTGCCCGCATGTCTTGGAAAAGCTACTGCAGTAGTAGCCTGCTGTCTTTTACCTTCTTTAAGAATAAAAGAAGTAAGCTTACATGGCAACAGAAAGGGTTTGGTTAGCAGAAGAAAGAAGTTGTCTAAGATCTGGGGGCCTAGATTACCAAAAGGAGTTGTGGAACTACTTTTAATGGAAATTATTACTAGAAAGTGCTTAATCCATTTACTACAGAAAAAAGGATGCTACTTTTAGGGTACTCTCCCCAAGTCCCACTGCCCACCTCCTATGCCCGGCTTCCCTCTGGGTCCCCCTAACCTTCAGCAGCACTGCTGGGGCCGTCTGGTCGGGGGGTCCCGGTGCTCTTTTTCCGCCGGTGCTTCTTCCGGTTGGAGTGGGGAGATGGGGGAGGCTCCAGCTTGGGGCTGGAACTGAGCACCTCAGCTGGGCCACTGGCTGGTGGGGGGAGAGGTGGAGAAGTGTGGGAAGAGGGGAGGCAGAGGAGGGGAAGGGGACGCAGGGCCCAGGGAGGAGAGGACCCGCCTGCCAGATGTAGGTGGGCCACACACCTGGGGGAGCCAGACAGACACCCTCTCTCCAGGTGAGGGGTCTTCAAAGCTCCCCGACTGTGGAGGAGGAGAAAGTGGAGAGAGGGAGTCGGAAACTTAGGCGGGGCAGAGCCGGGTACAGGCGAAGGGAGGAGATGGCTCTGCAGCCTGGAGGGGTGGAAGGCAGCCCAGGGAACTCACAGGGAGCTGAAGCCCCAGCAGCTCCGCACCAAATTTATCCTCAATCACACTCCCCGCTCCTCACAATTAATAGCAGAATTAGAAACAATCAGGGAGCTGCCTAATTACTGTCAATTAGAGCGCGCTAATCAAGCTCCGTCTCCCACACCCCGCCCGGCGCTCACCACTAAATGTCAAACTTCATTAGAGGCAGACACGCTCCCTCCCTCCCCGCCTTCCTCCTTCCAGACTCAACAGAGGGGCCTCGCCAAGGCCAGCACAGGCCACCGGACCAGTGACCCAAAGAAGGGCCCCGGTTCCCCTTCTCATGGCTTCCGTGCTCACTTCCCCCAGGGGTGGCCTTGCACTCGGATGAGGAGGTGGGGCAGAGACGCCCTGGGCAGGAGTTGCCCAGTTCCTTCCTCAGCATGGCTGGTCCTGAGCTGGGGGCAGCTCAGAGGCTGTGCCTTAATGCTTCTACTGGAAGGGTTGATGGAAGGCAAATCAAGGAGAACAGTGAACGTGCCTCGGCTGGGGTGACAAGCAGCTTGCCCCGGGGTGCCCCTGGGTCTCCTCCCTGTCTTTACACCTTCACTCATGACAAGGGGATGTAGACAGGAAAGGAATGTCCCTTTCCTTTTTGAGCCTTCAGAACTGCTGACAGGGTCTGTGGCCAAAAGTTAGGACTTGGGTGAAAGGAAGTAGAGCTGAAAGAGGAAGAAAAGCAGAGAGACAGAGAAAGAGTGGACCAAGGGGCAGTGTAAGAAAACGAAGATCCCAGGAGAGTAAGTGGAGGAGGTGGGTGGAGCTTCCATCCCACCCAGGAGGGGCGTGGCCTATCCCAGGGAGGCAGCACAGGTGGGAAAACGACCTTTTAGGACAATTTCACAGGGACCCCCGTTCCCGCGGCGGGCATCGAGATGCTGCCGCCTTTGGAACGTGGCTGCAGAGCTTAGAGCCCCCCAGTCCCCAGCCTCCCTACTCAGCCGCTTCCCTGTCCCCCTGCCGAGAGGCTGATGAGCTGACTGTGCAGGGGGCTGATGGGGATGCAGGAGCCACCACCAGCGCCACCTGGGGACGGAGGGGAGGCGGAGCTGCAGAGGGTTGGCCTCTAGCGCCAGACGCCGGCAGGGCTGCGGGGCGAGGGCTTTAGGGAAAAGAGAAGGGGGCACATGGTCCCACATGCTGGCTGGAGAAGGGGCAGAGCCCCTACTTCGTTTCCAAGAAAACGTCAGTACTGGCTCTGCAGCGGTTGTCTGACATACCCTGGAGGGCTCAGTTGGGCCCCACCCCTTGGCCTGGGCACCGTCCCATCACAGCCTCCCAGCCAAGAACGCTGCCAAGCTCCCCTCCTCTCCGTCACTTAACTGGGCCCCAGAAGAGGTGGGACGCAGCAGAGCCACCACTCACCAGGGTGCTGTATGCCTGGGGGCAGGGCAGTGGCCTCACTCCACTGGTCGGCGCTGGAAACGGAGCAGGAGCGCTGGTGCAGCCCCTCGGGGCGCGGGCCAGCCCAGACCGAGCTGCTGAGGGGACGCTCGGAGTGCAGGGATGCGCTGCTGGCCGAGTGGGGGGCACCTGGGGGGGGAAGGGTCAGGCTGGGACGGGAGGCCTGGGGAGGGGCGTACAGAGACCCTGTGCTAAAAACAGGGCTATGGGGCAGAGCTTGAGAAATTTCAGCAGGATACTGATCAGAAACGAGATGCTCTCATGGCTCATCAGGTGGCAGGTCAGGCTCACTGGAAAGCCAGAGGCCTCACACCAGCATCCATGCCCTGGGACACAGCCTAAGGTCCCCAGACCTCCACGCCCTCCCGTCTCCATGAACATAAAGGTCCACCACTCTGTCCCGGCACTGTGATCCGGGAGCTGGGAGGGGTGAGGGAGTGGGACGCTGGAGGGGCCTCTAACGTCAGGGTCTCCCAGTTTGTGGAGAGAGCTGGGAGTGGTGCCCACACCCAGTCCCCGCAGTGCTCCTTGGAGGTGAAAGCTGGGGCCTGTCGTAACCCCCAAGCCCTGCCCCTCCTGGCCCAGGCCCTGCACCCTCCATTCTAGTCCGCATGTGCCATTTGCTTTGCCTCAGCCTTGCTGCCATTCTGACGAGAAATAAGTGTATCAGATTCAAGTAATTATGTCTAATTAGTATTAGTAATTATCCTGTTGGGCTGGAGAAAATTAATCTTTCGTTTCCCATCAGGGAAGAATGGCAAAGCCAAGGGGAACCGAAGGCTCTAGGAGTGCCAAGGCTGTGGCAGGCACGGCCAGCAGCAGAGGGAGGGGAACAGAGCGCCTGCAGAACTCTGGCCTCACTCCCGGACTGCGTCCCTTTTGGAGATCCTGGGAACAGCCGTGGCGCCTCAGAGGCTTGACCCTTAAAAAGGCCTGAGTGGGACACTGAGAATCTTCTCTCTTTAGCCTCCTCCTCCTTTCGTCTGCCCAAGACTGACGGTGGGGACTGAAGCCAGAAGGAAATAGCCCTGGGTGGTCTAAGAACAGGTGGGCCAAACTCGAGTTGTTTGAGACCTTAAGCCGAGGAGCTAGTCAGGTGTTGGAGGTTAGTAGGAAAGCAGAGAAGGAGCTGGAGCGACCAGAGCTGGAGAAAGAAAGCAGAGGCCAAGCCCAGGGAACAGCCACACGTGGCCTCACAGCAGCCTGGCCAGCGCGTGGGGCTGAGTTTCTGGAAGCCTATAGAGAGGAAGCACTGAGCTGAAGCAGCTGGAAGGTAAAGGAACAGGCAAACATACCAAGTACTCTAGGGATGGTATGATGAGTAAAGGCAGAGAGCAAGTTTTGTGTTTCTCTTGTATTTGTCATAACAGCCAAAACAGGACTAGACACATAGTAAGTGCTTAGTAACACACGTGTGGTGCCAAGACTGCAGGCCAGTCTTCCACTTCCAGTCCCCCGAGATGCTGCCTCTTCAGAATCCTGCCCACCTCCCCTCCTCTCTCTCACGGGTCCCTCCTCCCCGTCTCAGGAAACCTTGGGGAGGCAAGCCAGGTCCCTCATTTCTCAGACCCCCTGTTCCTCCCCGCCCCTTCTGCTTCTGTTACCTTCCAGTCCCAAACCGTATTCCCCCTCATCCCAAGCCCCAGCCAAAGACTTCACAGGCCCAACTTCCTCCTCAAGCCCCCAACCCAAAACCCTGAGGGAGGGAAAGTGCTTTCCCTTTTCTTTGTTAATTCTCCCCTCATTACGCCTGCAATCCCACAATCAGTGTGCACTGTAATTGTCGAATTTGATGCTAATGATTAATGAATTAAACATGGAGCCATCAATTAGTCCTCGGAGAATAATTCTGCATAAAGCAGCGGATAATGTAATTACAGTAACAAAGATAATGAGATGTTAACATCGCCCGGTGAGCGAGAGACATGTGTGAGTGTGCATGAGGGTCGGTGTCGGCGTGTGGAGTGGGACACGGGCCTGGGGAAGCGCCGTCCGTGCGTTCCTTGTGTGGGTGCTGTAATTACGGGAGCAAGTCTGCTGCCTCCTGCATGCCACTATGGCTCCTCAGGTGAAGGCCATCAGGGACAGGACCGTGTCTTCTTGTCACCCTCCCTCTTTGGGGAAACAGCCCAGCTTTCCTCTTATTCCCTGTCTTCAAGGAAGGGCTCCTCCCCTGTGGAATGATAGGAGAAACCCCCAGCTGACCAGACGGGGCTCACTGGCTCTCCGAATGCAATTCTGAGATCCCGGGGACCCATGACAGAGGGCTCCCAACAGCTCTGACCTGCTCTCTGGGCAGAGCACAGAGGACTGCACCCTAGTGGAGTCACACAAGACTGTGACCTACCATTTTTGCCATCGAGCTGGACCCTGCTCCCTGGCGCACCCCCACAGCAGGCTCCCGGCCCATGGCTGACACCCCACCATGACAGGCAGTTGGTTGGCTCTCTCCTCCGTAGCTTCCTTCCCTCTATCCACTGGCACTCTCCCTCTGCACACCTCACGGACTTCCTCTTTCTGAGGACAGGGTGGCTTAGGAGAATGAACATGGCTTTCATGTTCACACACACTTGTGTTCAACCCTAACTCTCCTACTTACTCTGGGATTTTGCACACAAGGTTAGCTGCTCTGAACCTCTGTTTCCTCATTGAAATGGGGCCAATGATCTCGACTTCACAAAGCTCCTATAGCCCCTGGCACATCTCAATCAGGTCCCTCCAGGGGCAGCTCTCACCTTCAGCCTGGCCAGTGGTGTGTGAGTGAGCCCAACACACCTGTCTGAGGAGCCTCACCTCAGACCAGGACCACACCTGGAGGCTACCACCTCGTCTACCTTCCCTCTAACCTGAATTTTCTTAGTGCAAGCTCCACTAGCATTTTGAATGGGACAATTCTGTATTGCTTGAGGTCTGTCCCGTCCATGCCAGGGGACTTAGTATCCCTGTCCACTATATGGCTGTAGCACCCTCCTATCAGTGTGACCAGCAGAAACACCCCTGCACCCCCACATGCCCTCTAGGGAAGTTGGCACATGCAGCTGAAGACCTATGCCGCCCGAAGCTGACTCCGGGCCAGGGTACAGTGACAGCACCAGTAGGGCAGGGTTGTGAGCATCCATTTCTGGGCCCAGGGCAAATGAGAGCCAATAATCTAGGATAACAGTGAAGATACTTAAGTCTTGGGAGGAAGCACCTAGGAGTCAGGGCTCTAGGGAACAGAGTGTGGAGGGACAACCCCAGGAAGAAACAGAGGCCTGGCGGCAGAAGGCCAAGGAGGAATGAGCCAGCACTGGGGAGTCCCTGTGGACAGGAGACCTTTCACCTGAGCCCACACTATCACATGAAAAGGCAAGAACATGGTTGGAGAGAAGCTGCCCCGCCACACTCAGTTTCCTAGTTCCCAACTCTTCATTTGAGACACAGACACAGAGTAGCCTCTCCTGCCCTCTGGCTCCTCTGTTTAGTCCTCTCTGAGCAGAGACCCCACCTCTCAGTGCAGACCTGAGAATGTTCTCCTGGTTAACCCAACAGCTCTGTCCCCTTCTGTCGCCCTCCTTGCCTCACATGGCAAGCTAGGCTGAGATGTGGGCCATGCATCCAGATGCCCTGCCCTTACCCGTCGCCTGCCTCAGATCCAGATGCAGAGATGGGCCTCAGACCGCCAGCACCACTCCCCTGACATGAGGCCTGGTCCTATCTAATATACACCGGCATTTGCTCCTACCTCAACTAACTCTACCAGGGCTGCATTTGGGCACATGTGTTTGACCAGGACAACCCTGAAGTGTGACGCTGGCTGCCCAGCACACACAGAGCCCTGCATCCAGGCGGAGAAGCCAAGCCCAGATGGCTTGCTCCCCACACCCCGCCTCGGCAGCCGCTCACCTGTGCCCCCACCCAGCTGTGTGTTACTTCGCTCCATGGACAGCCCATTGGCACGGGGGCTGGTGCCTGGGGCGGTGGCAGGTGTGGCTCGGGGCAGGCGCTTCCCTGGCACTTTCACCGTTGTCCGCAGCAGGTCAATCTCTTTGCCGTGGATGTTCTGCATGTAATCCTAAAGGCCGTGTGGATGAGAGGAAGGTTCGTTAGGACAGGTTCCTCTTCTGCTGCCCTTATCCTCTGCCATTGACCCTGGCAACTCCTAGACCTCTCTCTGATGTGCTGCCCAGGTCGGGGGAGGAGAGGAAAAACCCAGCTCTTAAAGAGCAGGACTCTGGAGCCCAGAGAATCCCTCCAAATCTGGATTCCACTAGGACCTCCATGATGCTCAAAGGCAGATCTTGGGACACTCAGCCAGGAGGGACACAGGGACAGGGGTAGCTGAGGATCTGGAGCCAGGCCCCTTAGAAGAGATGGCATAGGCTGGCTCGGTGGCTCAGCCTGTAATCCCAGCGCTTTGGGAGGCTGAGGCGAGTGGATTGCCTGAGTCCACGGGTTTGAGACCAGCCTGATCAACTTGGCGAGACCTCGTCTCTACAGTAAATAAAAAATCAGCCGAACGTGGTAGTGCACACCCGTAGTTCCAACTGCTCAGAAGGATCATCAGAGCCCAGCAGGTTGACACTGGGGTGGCCGTGAGTGTGCCACTGCACTCCAGCCTGGGTGACAGAGTGATACTCTGACTCCAAAAAAAGAAAAAAGAAGAGATGGTACAGGAGGTGACACATGAAGGAAGGGAAGTCCTGGAGCGAGTTGGGATTTAGGGAGAGAGAGCCCTTGTGGCTGAGGAGACGAGCTCACACACTCTGGGACATGGATGATGGGAAGGCCCTGGCCCAGGAGGCTGACCCTGGTCCAGGAGACTGGCCAAGAGCACTTTGGCCCTATTTCAGGAGCTCCCACTCCCCGCCTGGGCACTAAGAACCTTTCAAAGCCTAAAATCGTCCCTGCCCTTAGAACAGCGCCTCATAATAAATACTTATTGCACAGTTTAAAAGGAAGCCTTTGATTATTTTTGCTGGACTTCAGAATACAGCAACAGGTCCATGGCCTCAGATGCAGCAGTAATCACTGTCATCACATCATTTGCCTATCCATGTGCCCGGGGTCGACTATACTATAGCACTGTACTTTATACATATATATTTCATACATCTCACTTATCTTCACAACAACCTGAGGGAGGTATTGCTATGCCTCTTTTGTAGAGGAAGAAACTGAGGCTTAGGAAGGTTAATCCGCCCAAGAACACACAATTAAAAGGTAGCAGAGCCAGATTCAAGCCCATGCTTTTCAGATTCCCAAGTCTTCCTCAAGTCTGTCCTGGGTTCAGGAACTCACCCTGCCTTTAAGTCAGTGCCCTGGAGTGTTCTGGAGAAGGGGAGGCACTTTGTGCTTGGACTCCCCCAACTCTTTAGGCTTTAGTCTGGAGCATGGCATGGGGGTGCCTGGAGAACCCCCTGTCCCTGTGTCTTCCTGGCCTGGCTGTACCTACTGCTTCTAGTCTCTCCACCCCAGACTGTTGACTTCCACATCCCTGGCACCGTCAAGCCCCTTGGTAGTTCCTAGCTAACATCCTTGATAATGCAGCAAAAAGTCCTTCCCATGGGTCTACACACCTCTGGAGAGAAGAGTCTAGGGAGTGCTGCCAGATGCAACTTTTGGCTGAATTACACTGATTAGACATAAAATCAGCTCCTCCTTTCCTCTTCATGGGCATCTATGGAATGTTTTGCCTCCCAAGGGCTTCTGTGAAAGAAGCCCCCTCAGGCAAGGTTTTCCTGCCCTGAGGGCAGCAGGCTGCTTTTCACCCAGACTTCATCTTCTTTCTCATTTAAGAGACAATGCCCTGTGTTTAAAAGAGCCCATGGCCTGTAATCCCAGCACTTTGGGAAGCTGAGGTGGGAGGACTGTTTGAACCCAGGAGTTTGAGACCAACCTAGGCAACCTAGTGGGACCTCGTCTCTACAAAAAAATTGAAAAATTAGCCAGTGTGGTAGTAGCACACACCAGCAGTCCCAGCTACTTGAGAGGCTGCGGTGAGCTGTGATTGTGCTACTGCACTCCAGCCTGGGGAACAGAGTGAGACCCCATCTCAAAAAAGAGCCAGCAGAAGTGCTGCCTTTGAGAAGCAGTGGAAGGACAGCAAGTCTCCCCAGGGCTCACTGCAGGATTACAAGTAGATGAGGGGGTCCCTTGGCCCCAGGTCCCCAAGGGAATGTGGGGAGGAATTACCAACTAGAGAGAGGAAAGAGAACAAGGAAAAAGAGACAGCCCCAAACACCAGCCTCCACCTGCACTTCTGTGGCTAGGCCAGACGTCACCTGCAGCTCCATGTCATCAGGGGCATGGTGGAAAGGCCTGACGCCAGCATGTGGCCTCCCTGCCCAGACCCAGCTGTGTGAGGTCTGACCCAGCTTGTAGTCACCTTCATTCTCAAGGTGACTATGGCACCTCCCCGGGTTGACAGCCCTTCAGAAGGGGACCAGGGTGGTGGCTAACCGACCAGAGAAGAGGAGCCACTCCCTGCCGCTGCTGCTCCCTGAAGCCTTGGGTTGTGCCTGTGCCCTCCCGCCACCTTGATCCTCTGTGAGGGATGATGCCAAGTGCCTGGTCCCAAGCACACATGTGCTGAGGTTTGGCTCGCTGTCCCAGAACCACAGGATGACTGAAAAATCAACAAGAGCAATCTCCCCCCAAAGCAGGACCCCTCTGACCACCTCTCAGCCCACTGTGCTGAACACCAACAGGGCTCTGACCACAGCTCTGGGCCTCACCAAGGTGGCTGGTTCCCAATGCCCTTCTATCAACCCTTTTCCGGCAAGCTGAGCTCCACCCCACCTGTTGCCTCTGGCCCTTTGGTCTTACTTTCAGCCCAGTGTCCACTAAGTGACTTCACTGTCTCACCCCTCTCCTCGTCTCCATCTCACAGTCTTGGCTTCTGCATGTTCCATCCCTAGTCCCTGCAATCCTGATCCCCAGTCCCTGTACACAATCACATCTTAGATCAACAGCTGGCTGGGCCAAAGGCACAGCTGCAGTCCCTCTCCTGGAGGAGGGGCTCGGGTTGCTCCAGTTCACAAGGAGGTCACAGCAGCGGCAACAGTCTTTGGGCCCCACGACAGCCCTGGGATGCCCAGGCTGGGACGTGGTGGGAGAAGCTGACCCTACGCCAAGAACAAGAGCTGCACAGAGGGACTCCATTCAGGGCCAAGGAGCCAGAAATTGGCATGAGGGGAAAGGATGGGCCAACTTCAGCACCTCTGACCGCACCAGACAGATGCTCCGTGTTCCCCGGGAAGGCCAGTGCCCACAGCCCTGGCCTGCATGCCTGGATCACTCTGGGGTCCGGGGTTGAGGAATGGAGCCCGGGCCTGGAGGACAGTGGAGAGAAGCCTGAGGAACAGCGGCAGGGACAGGAACCTTGATCAGAGCAGCAGCGTTTCCCTCCGTCAGCAGAACGGGGAGCATGGTGGCGGCGGCTGCTCAGGAGAGCGGTCACCACGGCTGCCTTTATTACCCACCATCAAACAGCAATTTCTTCCCCAGCCTCCTCGCTAATTACCCAGCCAGCGTTCTCATCTCGTTTTATTACTGGAATTAACAACGAGTTCAGAGCGTGGAAAGCTATTAAGATGTGTGATTAAGCCACATTCAATTAGTTTCTACAAACAATTTAATTGATGTTGCAGATAGAATTAACAGAAGGTGATTGTGTGAATGGCTCCGCTGGCTGCAAAATGGGGGAGGCTATGGCGGGCTCTCTTGGGCCACGCAGGAATTGGGCGCGAAGCTTGAGGCTGGCCCACCAACTCATCCTCTGTGTGTCCAGCCCAGCTCAGCCCCGTCAGCCTCCATCATAGGTGAGTCGCCGGCATCGCTGCTGTCACCTGAGACCTGTCCTGGGGAGGAGAGCCACACTAGACCTAGGGTTCTGTCTGCACCTCTGGAGTTGGCAGGGTCCTTTTTCCTAACATTCCCTGCCAGAATTTAGTATCTGAAGAGCCTCAGAGGGAAGCCTTCCAGGTCGGGAGGTTGCCCAGTCACTGCTGGCAGCTGAAGAGCTTGCTCAGCTTGGGAGAAGGTGGCAAAGGGGAGATGTGGGAGGTGAGGAGGCAGCAACCACAGAGAAGAGTGAAGCACGAGGGTGGAGAGACGGGCGGGCGTCTCTGCCAGAGCTGCACAGAGAGCCTGAGAGCATGCCACATGCCACAACCCTCGGTGCTGCCTTCACTTGGGCTTTTGCTGATACCCTACAGTTTCAGATCAGACTCCCGTCCTCCTGATGAGACGAGGAGCATTTACAGTGCAAGGATGGCACTGTCTGTGCCTGCTCGTCCCTTCTGCATCCAGCATGGAGGAGGGACATGCAACTGAGCACAGAGCCCATGGGCAGCCAATGACGAGTAGCTGCCGAAGGATCTGGAACTCGGGCTCTCAGGAGCCACGCCCTCAACTCTCCTCGCAACTTCCTGTGGCAAGAAGAGCAAAGCACGCCTGGAGGGGCTGCAACCCAGGGTGCTGGGCCTGCAGGGCCACTGCCTCTTAGAACTCACCCTGCAAGGACACAAGGATAGGCCTGGAAGCCCTGGCACCCAGATCTTGTCACAGGCCCCTGAAAGCACAGTACTGGAGGGGACTCCTGGGGGACTCAGAAGCCCAAGCTAGTTCCAGGCAGGCAGGCCCAACTCCCCCAGAGCTGGCCCTCCTATGTGATAACACTTGCCCCTGCTATTAACACTTCAGCGACCTTCTCAGTCAGCCCCAAAAGGAGGTGCTCTTGGCAAGTGTGCAAACATCTGGGTAATGCTGAGAGGCAGAGTCATGGGTCCAAGTCTTAGCTCAGCCACTGGCTGAGGGACTGTGAAGAGCCACCAAGCCCACTGAGCCTCTGCTTTCCAGCTGGCTGCATGTAAAACAGCATCTCCTCAAGCCTCGACCTTTCTTTCCTGTACTGAAACCAAGCCCAACCCCCCAACCTACCCTTTCTTCCATGTCCCAAGACCCCTCTGCCCTCCCTGTTCTTCCTCCTGGGCTTCCTTCACTATCTGGGGCTTGGGGACAAGCCAGGTACAGACCGTGCGCGAAGCTAGAGTCACACAAGGTGAGGATGCGGGCAGAGGGTGAAGGGCAAGGCCACCCCACACAGGCAGGGACACTGGGATGTTTTGAACAGGCCCGTTCCTAAGCCCCCGTCACGGCAGATGTGAGCAGAGAGCACACGCTGACCTGCCTGGTCACAGCGCGTGAGCGACCACAGGCGGGGAGTCAGAAGGCTCCAGCGTGGTCTCCAGGCCTCGGCACTCCACCTGGGACTTCCTGTCTGTGAATGGCCACGACACCTCTCAGACCTTTCAGTTGGGAAACACTGGGAGTCTGCTTGTCTTTCTGGTACACCAGCTGCTCCGGCCCTCCTTTAGGTACAGGGCCCTGTCACACAGTGATGAAGCCTTGTGCCCTTTGACCTCCCTCACTTTCCGTCTCTGTTTCAAGGCTCTTCCTTGTAGGCCTTGCTGCCTCTCTCGTGGTCTCGTGAGGATCAGTAGCAGGACAAGGTCCATGTATGTGAAGGGAGAGTGAGGAGGGGGCTTGGGAGCCTGGTATACTAACTCTTCTCCAATCTCCCAGGTACAACTGCCCCCTGGGATCCTGGCACCAGGTCCTGCGCCAGGACATTAGAAGACACTGACTGCTAACTGTTGCTGTCCTAGGCCGTTGAGGGGAGGGGCCGGTGCCTGAGGAATCATCAGGTGAAGGAGAAACCCAGGAGGGCTGGGCTGGGTCTGGCCCAAATGGGACAGACCCTCAGGGCTGGCTCTTCCCATGCCAGGCCTCTTCTGCGTGTTGTTTCCACGGGGCTCTCTGGGCAGGGTTCTCGGGACTGGTTATGGCCAGGAAACAGGGACCCCGGCACCTCTTGGGTCCTGACATCTTGTAAAGATTCAAAGGCAGGCTTAGGACCCTCTGAGGCAGGCCCAGGGCCTCTGGGCCAGGGGGTGGGGCTGGCCCACGTGCTGTGCTCGAGGGGCTTCACAGGAGAACTCATTAGCCCCACAGTGGGGTGGTGACAGAGATGGATTCTGGTGACAGCTGTGTGCTGGAGCCACGCAGGGAGGGGAGGGAGAGGAAGGGAGGGTGGGGGAGCTGCCACGGGGCCACTCTACAATCACCACGGCAGCCTCCCACTGGGACACAGGCCACGCGCCCTCCAGACCCTTCCACCCTAGGCCTTCTACACACAAGGCCACCCCACTCTTCCCCTCCTGGGAAGACCCGTCCAAGGCCCCAGGCCATTCTCAGCAGTCCTGGCTTCACCCACATCTGGTCCTCCACCCTCCCATGCCCAGGGGCTCGGTGCCCCCCACTGGCATGGCCCAACTAGACACAACTGTTTGGCAGCATCGGCACCCCTGGAAGTGAGCTGAATCCAGGCTTTCAAACAACTGGAATGTATGATGTAGAGCCTGGCTGCCCAGAGGGCAAGGGAGGAGCTGGCCAGTGGCCACCCCAGGCAGGCAGCAGCTAGATGACCATTGCTGGTGGCGAGACTCCTCCAAAGGCTCAGTGTCGCTTGGGGCCTCCGTGTCAGCACTCACTGCACCTGGGTCTGGTGCACATCCCAAGCCACCAGAGTGAAGTTCCTTCTCAAGGATGATCCATCTGAAATCAGTCTTGGAGCCGGCCCCTCCTCCTATTCCGTGACTCCCCCTCTGTCACCCTTCCCACCCCCCTTTCCCGTTCAGGAGGAGGCCTCCAGAATCTCCTCCTGGACTCACGTGCAGACTAGGGTGGTAGGTGAGCAGCCCGTTGTCACAGAGGGTCACATACTTCTTCTTCCACTCCTTGTTCAGCGACTTGCCGCTCCGCTTCAGCAGGATCCCCTGAGAACAGAGGTCTGATCAGAGACCAGAGCCAGCCCCACAGGCCACAGGCAGGCCGAGGAAAGGTCATGGTGTCATCAGGGAACAAACACCTTCCTCCATCCCCCCTTCTCCCGAGCCACTGTCTGAGCAGAGTGGTCTTGAAGGGCCCACAGCTAAGCTTGGAGAGCCAGTCAGAACATGCTTCCCCAGGACGTGACTCGTCCTGTCCGTCCACCAGGAGGCAGCCTGGAGCCACAACAGCAACAGGAGCTGAGCAAGGATGTAGACGGAGGCCACCAGGGATGCTCCTCCCCGTGAAGCTCCAAGGGATGGGGTGAAGCAACAGCAGAGATTTCAGCAGGGTCCTGGCCTTTCACCCCAGTGGTAGCTCCAGAATAAGGCAGAAAAATCCTCTAACTGTCCCAAGAATGCCCCAGACCCCCCAAGCTAGGCGGCAGGAAGGCCCAGCCATCCATCTCAGCAACCACCCTCCCATGTAGGCTAGCGAGCCACTCTTAATGCAGAGGCAGGATGGGTGTAAGGACAAACCAGAGCCCTGGGACAAGGCCAGGGCGCCACAGCAGATACTCAGTAAACATCCGGAGGGAAAATGGGGGCGAAGTCCCCAGATCGGCTGTCGAACGACAAGCGGGATGTGGGCCCCCACGAAGACGATGCTCAGCCACAGCCCTTTGCCTCCTTCCAGGGAGAAACCAGCTCCGTTAGAGACAAACCCCAAAAGACGCCCTCCCCTGGCTCTGGCTCTCCCAGAAACAGCAACAGCACAAGGAACAGGTGCCAAAGGGAGGCAGGGGTCAGGCAGGGAACTGGGAGACCAGGTGGCAGGTCCAGGACACCCAACACCACCCGTGGGCCCCGGCCTCCAAAACCTCCAGCTCCAGGAGGGTTGAGAAGAGGCGGTACTCCCTGGGGATTCCAAGATGAAAACCCCAGAGGGGGAGGAGGGACACAGGCAGAGCCACAGACTGGGGGCTGAGTAGGGGGATCAGACCGACGTCGGCCAGGAGCGCAAAGGGGAAGCACCCGGGTCCCATCCCAACAGGGTTAAAAGAACAAGATCTAAAAGAAGAAGAAGAAGAAGAAAGGACGAGCTCTGTGCACACTTAGTGGGGCCACGCCCAGAGAAGAGGCCCTGCAATAGCTTCTCCGGTGGGAATGGAGGGTCCTGCTCGAAGACAGCCAGGAACTCAGGGACTAAGAAATGCAGGTGTGAGACAGAGGGCAGCCCCTCTGTCCTCTGCGTATGGTCCTGAGGCCCAAGGGTGGGAGGCAGATACCAGATTCAATGGCCCCTTTCCTCTTTAAATCGAAGGCTCAACCCTAGATGGACGAGATCGCTATAAAGGTGATTAAGGGTTTCCTGGCCAATCCCTCCTCTCCCCAATGGGGGGAGATGGGGGCAAGAAAGGGACTCACTCCCTGCAGCCCCAGAAGCTCTGCTTCCAGACTCCCACTTTTCATCAGATGTTTCACATCCTTGCTGTGTGTCCCTTCTTCCTTCCTCCTCCTGCTGCCACCCCCAAGACAAATGACATCGTGAGAGGTGTGGTCACACAACATGGGAGTTGAAGTACACTACCATCTGCGGACACCTCCTGCTACCTGGTCCCCTCAGCCTGGGAGACCTTATCCCAAAAGGGGTCTCTGGCTAGGCACGGTGGCTCACGCCTATAATCCCAGCACTTTGGGAGGCAGGGGTGAGAGGACTGCCTGAGCCCAGGGGTTTGAGACCATCCTGGGCAATGTGGCAAGATTTCATCTCTACAATAAATCAAATTAGCTGAGTGTGGTGGTGCGTGTTTGTAGTTCCAGTTGCTTGGAAGGCTAAGGCAGAAGGATTGCCTGAGTCCAGCAGTTCGAGGCTGCGGTGGCTGTGAGCGTGTTGCCACTGCACTCCAGCCTGGGTCACAGAATAAGACTCCAACTCAAAAAAAAGGGGGGGGGGGTCTCTGAGAACAAGTAGCATTAATGGAACCTTCACCAGACAACAGAGCTGGAACATCCCAAAAGGTAACTGGGCCCTGCCTCATAGTCAGTGAAGGAGCCCATAAGGCCATCTGGGCCTTGGCGACCTACCCCTGGGCATGGCACTCCTTGGCCAGGGACAAGGTGTGGCTGAGAACTCAGCAAACAGTACAGCTGCTCTCCCTCTCTGACCCACAGCAAACGGCTCCAAAGACAAGCACCCTTAGAGGATAAACGTTCTTCGGGTTCTGGAGACCTCCAGGAGCTCCTCATTCTCAACTCTGTCTCAGGACTCGGACCAGAGGAAGAATGACCACGTGCAGCGGATGGCGAGGGGGGACGCACTCTGCCAGGACCCCTCCCATGTGGCAGACCTGGCAGAGCCCCCGCCAGGCTCCCCTGCTGCTCCTCACCTCAGAACCGGCTGCCTTCTCCCCAGCCTTCCCCGGGAGTGTGGGGCTCTAGTCGCAAATCCCTCAGCCCCCTGCCCCTTCGCCCCTTCTCGGGCTTCCTCCCCAGCCCACCCCTCTCTGGTCCGCCTCCCCTTCCTGCTATAGCTGGCCTCATCCCGTCAGGCAGACCGCTTCCTGCTCCGGGCCCTTTCCCCGGGCAGGAGCGTGGACTCCGAGTCGCCACCTTTCCCACTCGGACACCTCTGGGCGCGGGATGGGGAGTCAGGCGGCTGAGGAGGCCGTGTCTGGGAGGAGGGCCTCTTGCCCCCAGAACTCTGCCCTCCCTCACCCGGCCCTCTTCTGGGGCGCGGAGGAGCCGCTGGCCGGTCGGGAGCGCCTTGGCCGAGGGTGTGGGCGGAGCGCCCCGCCCGCGCCTCCGCTCGGCTCTCCCACCCCCACCCACCGCTCCGGGAGGCAGAACCCAGGCCGCGCGCCCCTCCCCGCTCCGGTCTCGCGTTCGAGCGGGAGGGAGCTCCCCTCCCGGGGCTCCTGCGCCCTCCCCGGCCGGCCGGCTGCGCACCGCGGAGCAGGAAGCAATCTGGGGCGGAATGGGAGCGGTGCGGAGGCGACAGCCCCCAGAGGACCCGTTCCCGCCGCCGCCTCCCTCCCAGCTCCGCCAGCCGACTTAATTGCGGAGTCCGGATTGATTGGGAATGCAAATGGCAACTGAAATGCAATCTCCACTCCCAGCAGGAGCTGGGGGGGGGGGGGGGAACAGAACCGCGGAGGACGGGACAGGAGGGCGGAAAAGGGGAGGCGCCGCGGCTCGGGCGGGATGGGACGCGCCGCAGCGGGGAGGTCCAGGCGCCGCAGCGGGGAGGTCCAGGCGCGGGGAGGCTCCAGGAATGCTACCGGGCAGGGAGAAGGGCTGACGCCCCCACCCCTCTCCTGCCACCGCTACAGAATGGGAAGGAGCAGGCACACCCCCAAGGCTGTCGCCGTGACCCTGCAGCTACATCGGGAGCAGAGGCCTCCGGTACCTGCCCCCGGCTGCACGCTCAGGGCTGACTGTGCCTAGGGGGACGTTCCTACCGAGAGTCCCTGAGATTGAGGGGCTGTAACACCCAAGGGACCTAGCTGACTCCCAGGTTCAAGTTCCCAGGGCTGCCCCCAGCCATGTAGGGGACTCAGGGCATAAGTCAGCCCCCAGCCTTCACAACCCCCAGACAGGAAAGGGAGCGTGGAGGGCCCCCAAGGAAAGTGTTACTCGTTAAATGGGTTTAAGTCACATCCACTCAGAAAGCCCATGCCCTCTGCTGCATCTCCCCATCTCCAAACAGGGTCCTATGCCCAAAGCTGGCAAGAGGCCCCCCACAAAGGAGGTGCCTGGGGATATGGGATCAAGCAATCTACAGGTTTGTGTGGGGACTGATTCTGCACAAAGACACATAAGGAAGGGGAGGCCTCTGGCTGCTGTCACTCTGTGTTCTCAACCTCTTCAAGTGACCTCCCAGTAGGTGACCCAACCGGAGTGGTCCCTGCCAGACATGAATGCAGTGAATGTTTCAAGGGAGTGATAAGTCGTGCTTGCTTTGGCAGCACATATGCTAAAAACTGGGACGATTCAAGGGAGTTTTAAGTAAGTAGAAAGGGAGGAGCCCAGGATCACCATATGGTGCCCTTCCTGGGACTCTAATGGACCTTCATTGGGGCGGGGTGGGGTCTGAAACCCCCAACCAAGCCTAATTCACGAATCCTGATCACACTGGCTGGACCCCTCCTCCAAGATGTCACATTGTCCATAATCTCAAAAGCCCCAGTCCAGGAGCCCTAAACCTGACCACAGGCCCTGCCAAACCAAGAGCTGGTCTCTGGTTACACCAGTCTCTGTGGTCAAAACCTGGCGACACGGCTCCCTGCAGACCCAGCCTCTCTAACCAGATCCCAAGAGAATCTGTGCTCGAGATCAGCCTGGGCAACTCAGCAAGACCTCATCTCTACAATAAATCCAAAAATTAGCCAGGCATGGTGGTGCCTACTTGTAGTTTCAGCTACTTGGAAGGCTGAGGCAGAAGGATTGCATGAGCCCAGCAGGTTGAGGCTGCAGTGGCCGGGAGCATGCCACTGCACTCCAACCTGGGCAACGGAGTGAGACTCCTACTAAAAAAAAAATATATATATGTGTATATATATATATGCAGAGGCCAATATGCAGAGGCCCATATCAACAGAACAGTGCCAATAAACCCAGGGCAGGACTAGCCCTCAGTACCCGCTTCCGTGTACATGCCTTCAGGTTACTCGGCAAATTCCTTAGGCCAAGAGAGCCAGACTCATTCCAGACTGAACCCCAGACCAGCAGGTCTGGGAGAGCAAAAGAACTAAAGACAGCAGGTAGCCCTCTGCTGCCCTCCGCTGGTGATCGGAAGATACAGCCAGAGTTGTGCCCCAAAGGTGGTAGCCCAGGAAAGGGCTTCTTCCAGGAGAACCTGTCCTTTGTTAAGGACTGCGACTAGGGAGGGAGACGATGACCTCTTACACCATCTTGCCGCTCCCCAAAGAATCACACTCTAGCATTTCCCAGGCCTGAGCTGCCCTCCGACCACAGGGGAAGGAAAGTGCTGACCTGCTTAATGGGGATGGCCCGGCCGCTCCCGATACTGTCCACCTTGCACTCTGCAGCCTTCTTCTCCCGGTCCGGGTCAGCACCCTTTCGAGACTGGAAGAGAAAAGAGGAGGCGTGTTACAGAGGCCCAGGGTCTGCAGGGAGAACTGCCCAGCTGGACTTCCCGGCCCTCCCTCTTTCCTCCCTCCTCCTGGGAAGCCCTAGCAGTGGGTTGGGCCGGGGCGGCGGGACGGGAAGGAACTGAGACCACGAGTATTCCAACGGGTTTATTCTTACACACGGCACCATACAGAGCAGCACAGGTCACTGAGCCGGGCCCGCCCCTTACAAAAGAGCAAGGACACGAAATACCGAGGGTGCGAGGAGCACGCAGCCCAGGGGGCTGGGGAGTAAGAGAAGGGAGGGGCGAGGAGAGGTGGACAGTGGGGCTGAGGGCTGGCCGGGAGCACAGGGCCCGACAACCGGGAGGGCCAAGTCCAGAAGTGAGCGGGCAGGCGGCCCGTCTGCGGCACAGACACCACACTACACGTGGCGCCGAGCACGGCGGCGTGGCCCGAGGGGCACAGTGGATGGAGAGAGAGAGGAGAGAGGCCCGAAGAGGCCCTGTGCCCTGTCAAGCTCCTGGGGCAGAGTCCACCCGAATGCGGATCCTAGGAGATAGGGGGAGGCCAAAAAGAGGGGGCAAGGCAAGCGCGGTGGCGGCGGCGGCTTCCGGAGCAGGAGCAGGAACGGCAGAAGTCCATGCAGGAAGGAGCAGAGGAGGGGAGGGGCAGGAAAGCTCCCCCCAGGAGCAGCTGGGCCGGGCGGGCTTGGACTCCCCCGCCCCTCTGGGCCGCGTCGCACTGGCCAGCGCCGGGCGTGGGGCCGAGCTCCCTTCTTCTCCATGCAGCGAGCCTGGCGCAGCGTCCAGCCGGGCCTGGTCCCCGGGCAGCCCCCAGCGCGGGCTCCAGCGTTCCTAGCCTTCCCTGGGGGTGGGGTTAGTTACAAAGGTTCCCGTGGGTCTCTGGAGCGGGGAGCTCGGCGGCCGCTTCTCATCTGAGAGCAGTCCCAGGGCCCGGCCCGCCTCCGGCCCCGCACAGGGGGAATGTCCAGAGGTGCTGTGTGTCACCACCTGGTCTTCTAATTTGGAAGGAGTTGGAAAGGCCTTTTTGTTGATGAAAAGTTGGAAACAGTGGCACATATCTGCAAATATCGAAAGAATAAAGATTTTGGCAAGTTATACTCAAGCCCCACACAAGTCGGTCAGCACTGGTGAGGGCAGAGACCCAGGCGCCTGGGGAGCGGCGGCAGTGGGATGAAGAGGAGGAGAAAAGGACAGAAAAAGAAATTTGAAGAAATAATGGCAGAAAACTTCCCAAATTAGATGAAAGGTAAGTACATACACATCCAAGAAGTTAAATGAACTCCAAGGGAGAAACTCAAAGAGATCCATACTGAGACTCATTATAGTGAAACTGTCAAAAATCAAAGACAAGGACAGCATCTTGAAAGAGCAAGAGAGCCAGGCTCAGTGGCTCAGCCTGTAATCCTGTGCCTTTGAGAGGTTGAGGTGAGTGGATTGCCTGAGCCCACGGGTTCGAGACCCGCCTGGGTAACTTGGTGAGACCTCATCTCTACAATAAATCAAAAAATCAGCCAGGTGTGGTAGTGCATGCCTGTAATTCCGGCTC